ATATAAATTATTAGTTCGTTTTAATTACTTTTATGTCACTTGACTTTCATTTATTTTCTTAATTGATTAAAGTTAGAAGAAATTTTTTTTTATAATGTTTAATTATTTTATTTGTGATTATTCTTTGAGGAACTGAAGCCCATATTTTTATTGTTATTCTAAAGAATTTGTCCCAAAATAAATAAAGAATATTATTATTATTATCATCAATATTCTCGAATTCTATAGAGTACAATTCCTCCTACACATGCACAAACGTATTTTTCTTGATAAGCCTATTTCAAATTCTAACGTCGATTTGGCTCACAGTAGTAGGGAATTTAGGAATTGTTCCTCAATAATCAATTGCTATCATTTTCAACAAATTTTATCCGCTACTTTCACAAAATACTTTTGCTTTCGGTTGGAGGAAATTTGGAGAATAATGCACAAATAATCAAGTATCAATTTTATCAAATTCCACTTAATAATTTAGCTATACTAGCTCTGCATGGCAGACCCCTTTTTATCGCATTATTAACATCCGCCTGTAACTTCGTAAATAGCTTCATCTCATCGTAACCTACAACTATTTTATTGACGAAAACTCTTGGATTCCCAATTAGACATAATTTGATTACAACATCGATAAAAAAAAGGTGGCCTACGAAAATATAGGGCCACTTGTCCTATATAACTTCGTTATTTTGAAAATTTGGGGGTATAGGTCACGTCAAACGGCTCAAATAATTTATTTATTTAATTTTCTAGTCCCATCCTTCCAGTCCTGTATGAATACCCTATTGAAGAACAATACTTTCTTGATACCGTCTGCAAATAGAGGTATATAAATCGAAAATTAAAAATTTTAAATTAATTATAGCAGTCTATTTTTAATTTATAATTATATATTATAATTTTTAGAAACGCAAAACGACATTCTTTGAAATAAAAGAATGAATTAGGACGAGTCATATCGTAATGACAAATTTTAAAAAAATTTTATGACGCGGTGCATGGTAGTTGAATGATACAAGTTTATTGTCTGAGGCTATACTTGAATGGTAAAAAGTATATTAAAATTTAGTTTGCAGGTTCTTGAAAATGGCTCCTGAAGCCGAAACGTTGGAATAAACATACATGTAATATATAAAAAAAACTGTGTTTTTTTTGTGACCTATGGCCTATAATAGACATATGTTAGTTTATTTATTTATTATTTACGAAGTTTCAGGCGGATGTTAATAAATCGATAAAAAGGGGTCTGTACCACGGACTATATATATTACTATTTGGAAACAATAAATCATAGTATAATAATTTGCAGAGTTTTTAAATATATCTACCAAGTTTCCAAAAACTTATTAGAATTTTTTCAATCGGAATATATTTTAGGCCGGGAATCGTACTCAATGCGGTGAATTTATAAAGTGCCTAACCTAATATGCTCATCTCACAAACCTCCTTCTAAGGTTTCTATTATTCTGCAATCAACTTAATCAGAGCTCCTAGTCGGTAATTTCACTTGATTGGTAATTTCAGTTGAGGAAATATTACCTCAAAGAAGTTTTCAACAATGCTTGCGATGATTCTCTTTGTTTGACGATTATTGTAAAGGACAACCATATAGGTATATACTACGTAGAACAGTCCAATTAATGACTCAACAAAACCATGAAAAAGTATTTGATTAATTTATTTTGGAAAAAAATGAAAGATTTTTTTTTATTTGACACGACGAACTGTGTAAGAATTTATGTAAGACGGTCTGCAAAGAATTTATTTGAGTCACTTCCAATAATATATTCCCGATTGAATCACTTTTGAACTGGCAACTAGCCTAGCTTTAAATTTAATCAAGAGCTTTTAAGAGGTAAACTACCTTTTCTTACTCCGCAATAAGAGTTTTGAAAATAAACAGTTCTATCTATATTATTTTACATATATTGCTAATGGTACTACCTTTGAAGAAAAAATATGAGTTTCCCTTGTCTATTTTATATCATTTAGTCGAATTATTAATCAGAAAGATAAGTACCTTTGGATAGTGCGTGCCCAAAAACATTCGTAGCGGCGATTCCAAGCTAATGTTCTAGATAATGACTAATCACGAAGAAGATAATTAGTGCTGAACCAATTCATTAATGACCGTAGGATCGAGAAGGAAATGGGGATTGTGTTAGGTCTTATCTATCTTTGCTAGTACGGGCATGAAAACTTAACCATAAATTATGTAAAATAAAATTGTGAATTAAAATCTGAAAGAGACCAGCATCTAATATGTTGCCAGAGTTAGTTAAAAAGAATAAATGGCAAGGAACCATGACAAACTACAAGTATAAGGAAGACCGGAAAGTAAAGTAGTTTCTGAGCATGTCACCATTTGTATGTTATTTTGTAGCTCATTGTATACATATATGCCATTGAAAAAACATTCTATGACTATAGTAATTTATTTAGTTGCAAATAACTAAATCAAATTTTTTTTTTGCAATTTTTGTATATATATAAGAGGTACATATCCGGCATAACATGCTTTTGAGTTTCACAAGGGTAATAAGACAACTGTTGCAACCAAAAATATTTGCGATGTTTATCCAAAAGCATTAGACGTTCGTAAATGCCAAAGGTGGTTTTTCAAGTTCAAATCCGGTAATTTTGATCTTTCCGACTCGTATCGATCACGAAGACCACCAACGTTAGATAATTACGTGTTAAGGGCAGAAATCGAAGTAAATCCGTGCCAAACAATCGAGGAATTCTCAGTCTTAACCAACCTTGGTCGATCATCCAAGAACATTTGCAGCAGATTGGGAAGCCACCATTTGCTGCTTATTGCTTCAACGGTACAATGCAGAAGCGTTTTTTGATGCCTTGATCACCGGAGATAAAAAATGGGTTCTGTATGATAATCCAAAAGGCAAAACCGAATGGCTATCTCCAAAAGAATAGCCACGAAGTACTGCTAAGCTAGATGTATACCCCCCCAAAAAGCCCTTTTCTGTGTTTGGTGGAGTATTTTGCGGCGTAGCTAATTTTGAAGTGTTGAAACCTGGACAAACTGTGTACGCAGACATTTATGGTGAACAATTGGATAGTGTAAATCAATCTTTAATTGAAAAGTGGCCAGTGATTGTCAACAGAAAAGGCGTTATTTCGCAACACAAAAATGCTCGTAAGACGAACCTTGAAAAAGTTAATGAATTGGGATGGGAGATACTGCCTCATCCAAAATACTCGTCCGATTTTGCAGCATCGGATTTCCATCTGCTCGGATCGTTTCAACACTTTATAACTGACAAAAGATAAGCAAATTCGAATGATATCAGAAATGCCATCTATATATATTTAGCTCAAAAACATAGATTTTTATCGATCCTGCATTGAAAATTTGCAGACTAGATGGCAAAAGGTCGTTGGTAATGAGGGTGATTCCATCAATGGTTAAACATAAAAACTCGTATGAAATTTATGTGTTTAAATTTAATGTGAGAAAACGAAATTATTTTTCGGTTCCCCTAATAGAATAACTTTCTGCCACCACTGGTCTATGTTGTTTTAAAAATGTTCAGATATATCGTTAACTATAACTATTATTAATAGACCCAGTATTATCATAGACAGAATTCATATTTATCCAGTGAAACATTATGAAGGAACTCATGAACTAGAGAGTATGAAGGAATCACCAGAATGAGTTAAATATTGTGCTAGATTAAAATATATAAGAAATTCGAAAAAAAAAAGAACAGAATACTTTCACCTTAGTCTTATAAACTATCCTAACAAACGAATAATTAATGCAGGAATCGAGATCCTTATCCTTAACACGTCCATTGACACCCACATTTGGGTGACAGGGCTCCTACAGAAGCATACCTGACACTTGTTTTCTTATCCGTTCTGCTTGGGCGAGATAAATATGATTTGACTAGTACTTTATAAGTATACGATTAAATAATATCATAAAGCATTTACCATTTGCACCACAAGGATTTAATTTGACTTATTTCAGTAATCGTACAGGCAAATGTGAAATATTTTAAAAACTAGGGACTAAATAAATAGATATTTATGTACAACGCTAAAAACGGTATTTTTATATTATGCTTCAATATAAGCATCCTGTTTTAGAGAGTGCATGAACCATCGTACGAAGGTAGAGAGAGATCTTCCTTACTTCTCGGGTGAGAGCTTCGTTGGAGCGTCCCAGGAAAATTTGTTAAAGAATATGCTGCCGAAAAAAAAGTATTTTAAACATTTTTTGTATTAAAATTAAACCAAACCATCGAAAAATGTAAACAAACGTTTGTTAATTTACTTAAAATTAACTTATTGGCAGATGCCTGTGCACCTGTTGCACCCCCGTGCTCACGCCTTCAAAAAAATATATAAAAAAATAAAATTCTTGGATATGTAGGTCACCTCAACATCACTGGACAGATATAGAGGGCAGTAGAAGGAGTGATCCTTAAACTAGAAAACACAGCAAAAATAAGGAGTGATCCTTAAACTAGAAAACACAGCAAAAATAAATACTCATCATAAATGCATCCAAGAAAAAGTAAGTGATCATATAGCAACTTCGAAGACCAGAAGAAAGCGGTTGAATTGGAGCATACACTTTAACAAAAGTTAAATTATTTTAAATGCGTGACAAAAATTATGAACTCTAATATTGATGTTGGCGCCTAAATCAAGAACATACTACTGTTAGCGAATCGCTGTTTCCGGGGATTGCGGCATCAAATGAGAATATGACATCCCGTCCAAAAAATTAAATTTTTGCTCAACAAAAAGACTCATTAGATCAATACTCGGATATGGCTCAGCCACATAGCCATTGTGCAAGGATAAGCGAAGTTTATCAATATTTGAAAGAAAGTTTGTGCGGTGCATGTTTATCTGTCTTGATGGCTCCTGGAAAACAATGCATCAAATATTCTAGATGGTTTATATGTGGACAATAAAATTGCAAAGTAAATGGTACACTGCAGCTCTGAAGATCGTGCCTTATGTATCTATAGAAAGATAGGTGGAACAAGAACTGGAAGGCCGAAACTACGGTGGGAGTAGCCAATGGTAAGAGGATAATGCAGAGAATGCGGAACTCGAAGAGGGTAGGACACAACCGAGACCAGTAGAGGATGGCTTCCCTCACTAATGGGTTGTAGCGCCTGGAAAGAAGAATATATCTGCAATTTCTAACGACCGCGGAAATGATACTACTAACCGCTAAATTCTAAACAAAATAATAAAATTTTATTGAAGAGAAGTAGCCATATGCAGCCATTCCGATCGCAACATCTCTAATGGAAGGAGCCAACGGTGTTTCCTCTTTTCACTTTTTCCCTCATTCCTTAATCATTGTTCGTCAATCATCATTCCTCAGTCATTGGTGTTACTTCAAATGATTTTTCCTCTTTCTTCATACTCGTACATAAATAATTTGTTTCATTCTCTATTGAAAGTTTTTCATAACACAATGGATTAACTACATCGATAACGGGCTTATATTTCTCCTTTCGATACTCCTTAATCTCCTCTCTACTTCTCTTCCATAAGATAATTCCCGAATTAGTTTCAAAGATGGATATTTCCCAATCTATTTATTTAAATTATTAAAATTAAATTTCCTCTATAAACACATTAAATCATGTAATTATCCTATTAAAACTAGTTCCATCAGGTATTAGAAGAATAACATCTCGATATCACGTGGAAGATCGACAAGAGGTCAGGTTATTATAGAAAAACAGATAATATATTTCAATAATCTGAGTAAATAATTCGTCGATTCTTCATCGTAGAAATAAATAAAGGAGTCAATCAATAAATATTCAACATAAAATATGTGCAAAATATTGGATATTTATAGGTTAACCGTGTGTGTAATGAGGGAAGATAACATCCCGAGCTGATATAAAAATAATTAAAAAAATAAAAAATTTCCAATAATGTGGTTTAATTTTTTTTTTTTTTTTTTTTTACAGCCTCCTCGGACCATATTTTTTCCAGTAATTTTTTATAGTATGTCAAAAATCAATTTAAAAACTAGTTACAAATAAGATCTATGAAACCATCATAATTTTATAGATTTAAACAATTAAACACGAGTCTATCATGAAACTAATCGAGATTTTGGACATCAAATAGAAAATAAATTCAGGATTAATTATAATGGGACCGTTGATTAGGAAATTAATTGCGAAGAAATATTTATGTAGATAGCAAAGTTGAAACAAAAAAAAAAAACAAAAAAACTTCCTGGCCATTGGAAACACTGATAAGAGAAGAAGACATGCTTGTCAATCAGCTACGACAGTCTATTTTTATATCCGTGATAATGTTTGATATGTGCGGTCATTCTGTCAAGCTTTATCCCGCCAAAAATCAAAACTCATGTTATCAGATTTAATTTTTAACCTTGTAAACTATGTAAAATTTCATTTTGATATCTTCAATACTTTTCGGGATATTAATTTTCAAAAAGGTATGAAAAAAAAGACATTTTTGCATTACCGACAACTGTATATTTAGTAACATAGTTTAAAATTTTGATAAATTTGGCAATTTTAATCAAATCCCAATGATTATTTAAAAAAAAAATGTCCGAATAATAAATAATAAACTTTATACTAGGGTAATAAGTATTGTCACGTGTTTAATAAACGATTTAATCATGATCAGCTCAGACATGAACTTCACAAATTGTTCGAACAAAAATTTTAGATAAAAACTCTGGGACAACCCGGGTATTGACTTTTTTCGAATAGCTGTTTAGCATGGACTAATATAACTTTGAATAAAATTGTTATTTGTATTGCTAGTTCAGTGTGTAAAAAATACAGGTAGTTTTCCAGAAAAATTTACAATAAAAAAAGGAAGAAATAATCTCAGAACGATATATTTTTTTGTTCTGAGATTATTTTTTCCTATTTTTTTTTGTATGGTAATTTTTTTATTATTATTATAAATATATATATATATTTATCCTCAAATTTCAATTATTATATTTTGTTGTTATTTATATGAGGGGTAGGTAATATTTAAATAATTAAAAACTAACAGTTCCACAGTAGATAAAACAGTTCTAAAGAAATTTTAATAATAAAGTTATTATTTTTTTTTTATTTATTTATTTTATATTTTCTGTATATATGATGTGAATGTGTTCATATATCTATTGTCCACGTGACAGATTGTTATAATCCTAAATAAATAAATTTAAAAAAAATTAATTTATTTATATTTCTTGTAAATATGGTATGAATGAACCATTTTTCCGTTATAACTATTGTCTTTATTGTGAAAGAATGACATATTATTCAGTAAAATAGGATCATAAAAAAAAAAAATGATGTCAAATAAAATAGACAAAAACTATAACTAGATTCGCTCTGTAAAACTCTAAACAAACATTGTACTCTCCCGAAGAGTAATTAATATTAATCCATCAATGGACCATCAATTAAGACACCAGAACGAAAAAACCAAATGACATCAATGCATGCATATAGAGATGGTACATCAAATGTTAATATTTAAACAATTAATACTGACATGTTCACACTATGAAAAATACTTAATTAAGGAAAATTGATAAACAAAATTAATGTCATTGATTTGGTGGTTTACAGTTCTGATGATGTGTGAATTGCCGAAACGTTGTCCGCTTATTTATTAACGTTCTTCGAGAGACTAAAGGTTATGTTTTATCTAACTATTTAAAAAATAAATAAATAAAATTCTATGGGGTACGACTTACGAAGTGCATGACTGGAAGAGCATGGATAAGAGAGCAGCTGCACTAACCCCAGGAGACACAAGGCACTACTGAGCCGTGCGTGCCCCCACTGAGACCAAGACTCCCCACACGATCTGTTTACCAACATAGCACTACTGCCGGTCGATAAGGAGTCGCTGGCAGTCTGGCCGGAGGAGGATTGTGACTTCCTGGGGGAGGTCAGCATGAAGCAGTGTGGTCAGCAAGAAGTAAGGAGAAACCGGAGGAATGGAACACGAACCTGAATGCTCCGCTGCTATATACTTAATGTACCAATACCTATCAATATTTAATTATCAAATATATATATATATATATATATATATATATATATATATATAAAATAATTAAAAGTACGATATAAACAATCGAATGGTAGTACCTCAAGAGATGTTTAGACAACTAAGATTCAAGTATGATATAATTATCAATTTAATATCATATTTGAAGAGAAATTGGTTGATCATTATAAAAAAAAAAATTAAAAATAAATAAATAATATTTATTTTTATATTTGACGAGGTTTCGACCCAAAGTTCAGGCCTTCATCAGGGCTAAGAAAAGACCAGATAACAATATAAGAAACTATTAACTTATGTAAAAAAAAAAGAGATAATAATAATGTAACGAACATATAAAAAAAAAAAAAAAAACAGTAACAGAGATGGACTTAAGAAAAAAATAATCCCTGTTATTGTTATTAGTTCCTCTCCGTTAGTTATTTTTTTTGCCTCATACGTTCGTTACATTATTTTTTTTTTTTTCATAAGTTAATAGTTTCTCATATTGTTATCTGGTCTTTTCTTAGCCATGATGAAGGCCTGAGCTTTGGGCCGAAACGTCAGCAAATATAAAAATAAATATTATATATTTATTTTTAATTTTTTTTTTAATGATCAACCAATTTCTCTTCAATTATTCACTTCAGTCAACCACCTAGTGTTGCCCGAAATCGGTCTTGGCCTTGCACTTCGCAAGACCAAAACCAAGGCGGGCTAACTGTTGCAAGACCAATACTAGAACTGGTAAAAAAAATCGATTTTTTAAATAGAGGTTAAGGCAGAATAGTTACTAATACTTGACCATTTTAGTTACTATATGTTAATAACTGGTATAACCAAGACTCGTCTCGGTCTCGCATTTGAGCAACACAGCAACCATCAAACCACAATGATATTATATTATTGATTATTAAAAATATTACAATATTATTTTTAGTTTGTGAAAGTTATTTTTCCCTCTTAGTGTAAATAATTTATTATTTCGTAATTTGGTTAGACATTCTACATTTCGGGACTCTGCCCCTTTGTCAAGAATTTTCTTTTCATTGTAATAATGAAAGAACCTTAAACAGATTCCTAAATGAAACAATATTAAGAAATATTTAAAAAAATATGACATTATAATAAGTTATACATTTATTGTTGTATGGTAAATTTAGGAACTATATAAAGAAAACTTCTGACGAGGCAGAGCCCAGAACAGTTTAGTATGTAACTAATTTAAAAAAAAAATAAAGTATATACGACAGGAGGAAATAATAACTTTCTCAAACTAAAAAGAAACTTGATTTATCGTTCCTATAATAATAGAGTGGTTTATGAAAATGATACAATATTTCTTCATAAAGAAATATCATTTGTAACACTTATTTCAGTCACCGACTTTCGGTAGTTGTTATGTAGATAATCTTTAATCATTATTAATCCCCCACACAAAAAAATAAATAAATATAATTTTCATTAGTTTTGAAATCACAGATGCAGTTAATAAATATTAAATGAATGATTCAACCGTTTAAAAGTGCACCATTTTTTTTCTATTGGCTTTACAGACCTTGAAGAGCTTAATTTATTTCAACTAGCCTTCTCCAACTCTGTCGCATATAAAACGTAAATAGAGTTAAAAGATGAGTAAAATGGCATATATTTACAGTTTCATCGATTTAATGATTTTGAGCAGAGAATAAAAATATTAAAAAAATTAAAGACCAACAGCATTTTAAAGAAATATGCAATATTAAGTTATAAACGTTTTTGTTGAATTTTAAACAATTTAGCATCAAATGGATGAATTTTTATGGAATGTTTTGATTTTGTATTTGCTTCAGAAATTTATTGCTTCCTCATTACCGAGAGTACGAAAGCTTTGTATTCGTGTGGGAGATTTAAAAAAATATGCTCAGAATCGGAAATTTCCACTCGAATTTTACGTGTCAGGACATCAAGGATCAAATATAGTTCGGAGCCTGTATGTCTGTAGTCAAATCAATGCAACGGGCATATCACCCACCTATTACAGTTTAACTGATTTCCATGGAAAATCTTAAATTGTCGAAGATTGTACCTGTACTGTACAGTCAAATTCTATTCAACACTTCCGCTTACGCAT